ACAGCAATTGATTGAGTAAATGCGGTAAAATCTCTTCCACTGGTGTGCCAAAAAAGAGAAAGGGAAGAGGCTGATAAAGTGAGGACTAGGATTGCTACTCAGAGATACGGATAGACAGAAGAGGATGGACTGAGACGGGAGAGAGAGGTTTAGCAGAGGACGTTTCAGTCTTTGAGGGAGAGCGCTGGAGAGAGAGGAAGACGGTACGATGTGGCAGCAAGCCACGGCAGGACAATGAAGAGGCTGCAGTTTATCAATGCGGTGGAATCTCTCTCAGAGTGATGGACAATTAAAGGGAAAGCGCTCAAGCTCATTGGACGAGGGTGATGGTCACTCTTCAGCCAATCCAATGGTGACCAGCTCCATTTATTCAGCAGGTGATGGGCAACAGCTGTGATAGAGGTATCTTTCACTCTCTCTCTCTCTTTTCCTCGTTCTCAGCTGCGTTTTATTAGATTAACTTTAATAAATTAAGTTATCGTCTTGCTCTCAGACTTGGAGGGTCATTAAAAAATCTATAATGATTGAAGTTGAGTTGGATATGCTGTTACAGGTCATTTCCTGTTTGATAAGTTGTCCGTGCATGTTCAGAGGCGAAACGAGGTGGTGTTTTGCTGCTCTTGGTTTAGGTTTACTCTCGTTTATGCGTTTAGCTTTTATCCGAAGTGATGTAAAGTGCATTCAAGCTGTATGTTTTATCACAACATGCATTCCCTGGAAATTTAACCCATGATCGTGTTGCTAGCATTAAAATTGTAATATAAGTACCGCTGTGCTTAGTCATAGGGATCACTGCAATTCGTCAAGTTCAGCACTGCAGAGCCCTCGCACAAGCAGCAACTTCACGGAGAGTGTGAGCGATGCATGGAAGAGTTTGATCCGAGGAGCTCGATGATACAACAGGCGGTCTACAGAGTCCAGCTGTGGCTGTGGAGGAGAAAACGTGAAGTTGCTGTTCTTGTGAAGCACAAATGTAATGCGAATGAAGGTTCCAAAAGGGGATATTTGGTAGCCATGCAGTAGAAGAGCCATTTTTGTTCCCCAAAGAACCTTTATGTGAAGAGTTTTTAAAATAATCGTTTGTTTCTTAGTTTGAAGAGTATTTTAATAATCTGAAGAGCCTTTTTTCCTGTTGTAAATAACATTTTGTGCAATGAAAAAAGTTCCATGGATGTTAAAGGTTCTTCATGGAACCATCAATGCCAATAAAAACCTTAATTTTTAAGAGTGTATTTCAGAAAACAGATGTATTTTATGCATCTTGAGGTCTTAGGAAGTCGGATGGACTGCACAGAACTTGACTGGGCCGCTCCTGGGCTGCAAAACGGGTTGAACTGCTAAATTTAGCCGTTAATCAATGGTCCTCTGGAGAGCGGCCAAATGCAAAGGGGTGACTGATGCGTTGTTTAAGAGACATTATAATGTCCCGTTCATTTGATGAGAGATTTGGTGTGTGTGTATACAAGATATAAATAAACATATATTCTTGCAGCATTTCTTCACCCTCATTTTGTTCCAACCATGTACAACTTTCTTGCATTTGTAAAACAGATATATTGAGAAATATTCTCCATAGAATGAAAGTTAAAAGGGGTCCAGTGTTGTTTTGGACCAGGGGCGTAGGCAGCGGACGGGCCTGACGGCACAGGCCCGCCCACTCTGATGAAAGGCCCCCCCCAGTTTATTATACAAATATATTTGTTAAATAATTATTGTTTCATCTATTTTAACACAATTAGAGAACTATTATAACATCTCAAATAAATAAAATGTGTTTTTGCATAATTCTTGATGAGTTTGATTGACAGCAGTGTTAGCCAATTGTTTTCCAGGCTGTTTCGGGCGTGTCACGCATGTAAATTTGTGCGTTCACCCATTCAGTTGGACTGTAATTTGCAGCTGTGTTAGAAAATGTTAGAGAAACAGCAGCAATGCATAATTCTGTAAAAAAAGACTTTTAAAAACTCGCACTGACGAGGGAGAAAGCCCATCCATCAGTCCACAAGTAACGGTAAGACTTTCAGTTCCACGTGCGAACCGACCGGTTCATTCTGTGAAGCCGGGAACACATACAGTCAGGCCGATTATGAATGTCATTTGAGATCAGTCAGTGTTTTCAGTCGGTGTTCAAATTCGTTTGGTGTGCGGTGTCTAAAGAATATAAGACCAGCTGTTGCCAGTCGTCCTCACAAAGATTAGCCTATTTTTTTATAAATTTTGTGACTGACGGCTATTTAACTGCACCTGTTTCCTAAATTGTAGGCCTATTAATTTAAATAATGAATTAACAAATTTTAAAAAATCACAAACATTACATTTCTGAATAAAATAATTTTATACACTTTAGTTATATCTAATTTGGCATTTTCAACGAATGTAGGCCGGTTACATTCTTCTTATTAATAGGCCTATTATTATTAAGTTACTTTTATTATTAAATTAATATTACAATTAATTTGCCCACAATAATTTCATAACGCATCAGATTATCTGATGCGCTGCGAGGATAATAAAGATTAGGCTAGCTTCCTCCTCACTGAAAATGTTTTTAAAAAGGTCTTTCAAAACAGGTTTATTATACAATGAATTATAGGCCTATAATTAAAATTAACACTGCAATCATCAATGAAAAAGCTTTATTTCAAGCAAAAAACATGAAATATGTTTCTTCTTTCTTTCTTTTTTTAATTAATTTATTTATTTTTTCCACTAGCCTATGTTTGGGCCACAAGATAAATATTAAGGGAGTAAATTAAAACATGCCATTATATATGATATACAGTTATCAGCATATGAAGTAGATTCGTCTCTCGTCGTCTCTGAGAGAATATGCGCCGTTAATGCAGCGTCAGATGCCAAAAGCGCCGTCAGTTTTTACGTTCACTTTCTAGTGAATCGACTGAGATGAAGAGGTTCACCTTCATAACTCTTGCGCAAAGTTTTCACGTTGCTTGCGTGATATCCATTGGCTCGCCTTCCTGATTTAAAACAAATATTTACAATATTGCAACGTAACCAGAAGCCACCCTTGAGTTCACGGTTGGGGGCCGCGGATTTGTGCTATGCCACTGGACTCTGTCCGTTAGTTAGCCTAGTGCCCACTCACTTTTGCCCAGGCCCGCCCAAAAATAAAATTCTGGCTACGCCACTGTTTTGGACCCCATTGTCTTTCATTGTTTGAATAAAAACAGTATCATACACTAGAAAGTAAGTCAGACAAGTTTGGAATTTTTGGGTGAACTACGTCTTTAAGCTCTTTATTGTGAGCCGAGGGTTTGATCTTGAGCAGCGGTGGGCAGCTCTCCAACGGACCAGGCACAATCTCTATTGTATGGATCCACTGAGGCCTGCAAGCTGAAACCAGAAGCAGCGTCTTGGCCAAAGACCTCTGGGTCAATTTCAACAGTGTTTCTTGATTCAGTGCAGACGCTGAGAGGCGGGAGTTCTGCGGCAGTTCGTGCTCAGTCATGGACTGGGTTTTTATTTCTCAGGGTGAATTAACTCATTATGGGGTGATGTACACTTCAGTGAGGAGGACAGCCCGAGGGGTGGATCTCTGGGAGGTTGTGCGGATGTAGGTTACGTCCTGCTCCATCCTTGACACACATCGGCTGTGGGGCTCCCTGCAAATATAGAATAAATCGGTCTGAGGAAATAAAAAATAAACTTGGCTATATAAGGAAAATGAGTAATATTCCACTTAGCTTCTGAGAGTGGCTTTATATGAGAGCCACAGGGCGTCCATCTGAAAGTCTGGTGGTGGCAGGTAGAGTGCTTTATTAAGAGGACTTACTGAAAGCTTTGGGTTAATTCACTCTTTTAAACCTGTCTGACTGGCACTTTAGCAAGACGTGAGCTCTCTGTTAGTGACCCGCTGGGCATCATTAAGAGAGAGATAGATTTACAGAGGGCAGGTGACTTTATTAGACCCCAGACTACATTTAAGACTGGTCAGGAGGACCAATCATGGGTGAAATGTGGAAGCAAAAGAAGACACACCTGTCTTTGAAACCTCATTATTAGGGATGCTCATAAAATAATGTTCTTGTGCATCCTTAATCTTATTTTCAGATATTTGTTATTAAAAAAAAGTTTGGGGTCTGTAAGATTTTCTATTGGTACTTAAAAGAAATATCTTGTGTTCACTAAGGCTACATATCATTACAATTTCAAGTAACGGTTTTATATTTTAATATATTTTAAAAAGTAATTTATTCCTGTGATGGCAAAACCGAATTTTCAGCAGCCATTACTCCAGTCTTCGGTGTCACATGATCCTTTGGAAATCATTCTGATATGCTGATTTGGTGCTCAAGAAACATTCTTTTTTTATTAATAATGTTGAAAGTTGTGCTGCTTCATATTTATGTGTTAACTGTGATCATTTTTTCATCTTTGATGAATAGAGGGTTTATTTGAAATATTTGAAAAAAGCATTTATATGAAAATCTGAATATTTGTTTTTCCAAAATATGTTACTGACCCCAAACTTGCATATATATTATTACCTTAATATATGATTTATAAATAGAAACTATAAATACAGGCAAAATGTAATATGCAACTAATGCTGGCATAGAAGTACTTAATTGCCATGCAGTTGAACATACACCACTGCACTGTTGCGTTCTGATTGGCCTTTAAGTATTCATAATATAGACCTAAGCTATAGCATAATGAAATAATTATTGATTATGTGTCAGCCATCATTTCTAAATTAGTGTAGCCACAGTAGTAGTTATAATGTTTGGCACAAATGTTGATTCCATTTAGAAAGATTCCTGTGTCTGCAGTATCAGTAATTCATCAATAACGCCAAACTTCTTCCTGTGTCTTTTCCACAGTCGACTACCCCTGTGTTACAGCTTTCCAACTCAATGTTTTAAATATCTGTAGTTCTCTGATCATTAGTGTGCCTATTAAAACATTTAAAGACATCCTCCCAGTCTCTCTGAAGACTTCCTCTGATCTAATCCCTGCTTTCCTCTCTTCTCTCACAGCGGAAGCGTCTGCGGAGCGCTCTCCCAGGCGGAGGAGCATATCGGGGCTGGGCAGCTCGGAGAAGAACATTTCCATGGATGGCTCCAACTCCTCACCCTTCAAAGTGCCTGTGAGTTCATTTAGCAAAGCACTCATATCAGCATTATACCAATTCATCATCACATCTCTCTAGCCTCAGTTACTTCTCACAGTCTGCAATGCCAGCACTCTTTGTCCTTCAGCTGTTATTTCATTTTTAGACCCCTGAATGTCTTTTTGTGGGCTATTAGAGCTTATTTCGCTGTTTTGCTTACTGACCAGTATAGATTATCCAGTAATTTTTTTTTTTTTAATGTTTTAGTATTATTTTTCAGTTCATTTAAATGAATCAGAATCAGAATCAGAATGAACTTTATTGCCAGGTATGTTTACACATACGAGGAATTTGTTTTCATGACAGAAGCTTCCACAGTGTAACAGAATGACAGTGACAGAACCAAAAAAAAAAAAACAAAGATAATCAAAAATAGAACAAGTAAAATAAGGAATAAAAAATATACAAATCGACAATTGTATGTACAGGTATAGAACAATAGACAGTTGTATGTACAGGTATAGTATGTGCAAATTGAAATATGTGTGTTAGATAAATAAGTGTATGAGTGATGAGCTGAATCACAGGAATGAATCAGATTCAGCAATGCTAAAAGTTCATGACTGTTCAGGAGAGCATTTGATTTTTGTCTAAACTTGCTCGGCTGTAAAGTTCCATTCACAATTCAGTGTTTTATTAAAAATGATGTGAAATTTTGCAATGCTGCACTGCTAAATTATGGAAAAAGTGACTGGAAAAACTATGCTATTGTGGAGACGGCTGAGCTGCTGTCAAAAATATAAAGGGATGGTTTACCCAAAAATGAAAATTGCCATCAAGTACTCACCCTTGTGTTGTTCCAAATAGGGCTGTCGCGGTGAGGGAATTTCCCTTGCGGTAATTTTGAAACGATTCGCGTTTACACATATCTGTGAAAACGGCCAAAAACGCTGTATTGCGTATGCCATGGCAGTAGTTGGCGCTGTCACCTTGTTAGTGAACAGTACATGTAGAGAAGTGAAGCTTATATGATGTATATGATGCGTCTCCGCTGTTGGTTGTAATATTGGTGAAGTAAATCCACACTTTGCTGAAGAAGCGTTAGCAAACTCTTGAGCAGCAACAACAGTACCATATACTCCGCCATTGTTGTGTATGTTTGTTCGCGCTTGCCTTTAAAATCGACACATACTGCGCATGTCTACATACCTAACACGTACTACGCACGCGCATGACATCACCGTTTTCAATGATTCCCGTTTTAGGTGTTTACACGGAAACGACGGTGCCGTTTTTAAAAACTTCCACTTTGAAACCCGTTTTCAAAAATATGCGTTTTCAGTCCCCAAAACGCTGTCGTCGTGTAAACGAACAGTTAAAACGCATAAAAAGTTTCCCGTTTTTGGCTGAAAATGTTGTCGTGTAAACAGCCCCTTCACCAGAAAACCAATCTTAATCTGATGATCATGTAAACATGGTTCATATTTAGATTTTCATAATTTTTTTTTAATGATCTTTCTAGTTTTCCAGGCCTTACATTCTCTGTTCCAGTTTCTAGTTTCACCCCATCCGGTCATTCATTTGTGTTTTATTTGCTGTATTAAATCACACACATACACATGATCATATCACTCTTTTCCTATTGCTATTAATTTCCAGTATAATGATCATAGCAGTGTCTGAATGCTTTTTTTCTTCCCTGTACCAGTATGTTTGTGCTCTCTGATGAGTTTTTCATTTATTTTCTCCTCTTTCACTTCCTTTCGTAGAGTGCTGACAGTATATTGCTTACTTTATGCCTTGTTATGTGTCTTTTGATCTTTTTTATGCTGTTTCTCCTTCCAGTTTCCTGTTTCCTCCTTTATTTTTTGTTTTTAAGTGTTTCAAAAATATGCGTTTTCAGTCCCCAAAACGCCGTTGTCATGTAAACGAACAGTCAAAACTAGGGATGCTCCGATCGATCGACCGGAGATCGGTATCGGCCGATAATCATATTTTATAACTCGATCGGTACTCACCAACTTGGCCGATCTCAGGAACCAATCGCAATTTGATGACGTCAACGTGTGACGACGTACATGATGCGTGGGGCCACAAAACAATAGCCATAGCCAGACTGATAAACAAACACAGACCGGAAGTTAACTTCGGGCCAGGCGCGTGCGCCCATTGAAACCGTCTATATAAAGCTTGAAGCATCAGAATCGGTATCGGCCGATCACCATGACAAGAAATCGGTACTCGGTATCGGCTGCAAAAATCCTGATCGGAGCATCCCTAGTCAAAACGCATAAAACGTTTCCCGTTTTTGGCTGAAAACGTTGTCATGTAAACGGCCCCTTAGTCCCCACAATCAGTCATTGTCTTTTACAAGAGGCTGGTTACATGTCACACTGCACTGATGTAGAAATAGAGCTGAATTCCTGCTTGGGATAAATGCCCCACTTTAATTACCCTCTTGAGCCCCTGATTAGTGAAGCGTCGTCCTCCTCCGTTTATCTCCAGCCACTAATGGTCTTCCTTATTCCAGGCCAGTTCCTATGTGTGAGGAGGACAGAGTTTCAGCCCAATGATGAATGTATATATGGTGCATGCACATACCTTTTGAGTTTTTGCATTCATTTTGAGTTTTTTATGCAGTATTTTCAGCGCTGCATTGCATGAACAATGAGCAGACGCTCCTTCCGATAGCTATATTGTAACAAAGGCACATTCTGGAAACCGTCTGTGCCTCTGAGAAGCATTAGAAATTGTTTGATGATATTTTTAACCAGGCAGGAAGTGGGACAAGGCAGATATTTATATCTCCAGCATTTCTGTGTGTCATTTTATAAGTGATTAATCGTGCATATTTGTCTCTCTGTCACAAAATTCCTAGACAAATGAACTGATTTGGTGCACTCGTATAAAAGACTTGGATGTGTTTTTAATATGAAGTCTCATTACAGCTCAAGTCATTTTCTATTAAGAATATGGAAGCATTGATTGACAGGTGCATTGGGATTAATGAGCTCTGTTGAGGCAGCATATAATTTATATTTGAATTATGTGAAGACTGCATTGAAGCCTGTCAGTCTGTAGGACAGCCGGAATTGAAAGATACATCAGCAGTTGTCACATGATTGCCAGAGGAGTGGAAACAGTTAGTGAGGACTAACTTCGTATTAATGCCAATGATTTTGATATTGAAAGCTTTTCAAATGTTGTGGTGTTTAAGTGTCCACATAATTCAGAGTGGGAATTTGAAAGATATTTTGATCTTTGCTGGACAATTTCCAAATGATGCCCTTTCTAAGACTTTGTACAGCGGCGCCCTCCACATTAGTGCTTCATCGCTCTCTCTCTTCTTCTCTCTTCTCTTTACCCTCTCTATTTCACTTTTCAAACATAAAGCTTTCTCTCATCTTTCTTCTGATGAGGAATGACTAATTTATCACATACAATCCCACTTCTTTTCTGTTAATGGCCTTTTACTAGCCAAACGCTCTCCTACTTACAGTCTGGCACTCATCTGAACAAGACAAATCTCACTTCCCCTGACCTATTTTTTTAGACATTGTCATTGTCCTACATGATTTTAATGTATAGCCGCTCAGCTAACCCTCTGTGATTTACTACAGATAGTTTTCTTCCTGGTTTTCTCTTCCTGTTCCTCTTTTCTTCGGAATAATAAATTCACTGTAAAACAGGTTAGACAGTATGTCTGGTCATATTTTCTGATTGATAGGGAAAATTCTAGCAAATCTGATAAGCCGGTAATTATTTTCATGTTCAAAATCTCTTAATATCACCTGATAACCAATATAACATTTATTTTATAATTCCTTTGAAAGTGGCTCATCGAGTCAATTTTTCAGAGTCAGAAAATAATAATAATATATTAAATAAATATAGTAATTTTCCCCTTTATTCGTTTGTTTGTTCGTTCATTCATTTGGGTTTCATTGACTTATTCAGTCAAATTTCACAATTAGAACAAAATATTATGATTATTATTCCTAATAATTATAGCAATTATTTATTTAGGTTGTTTCTCCTACAGTCGCAATCAATCAGATTTTATAGGCATAACAAAGCTATTTATTTAATTTATTTATTGTGCTCCTCCTACTAACTGAAATGAGTTAACACGCTCTCACTGGACATGAATGGATATGCTGATGCTGAGTATTTTTTTCTTCCTTCCTGTTTTGCTGAAACTAACACACCTCGTAAGAACAGCTCATTCTGACCCAGAACCAAATATTACTCACTTATATATCCGCAGGTGGCCGTTTGAACTCTCTGACTTGGTTACTTATTAATATTTTGTTTTCCTTCAAGACATTGAGCAAGCACGACTGTGCTACAAGCAGACGGTAAACTATTCAGCCGGCCTTGGCCGTCCCATATTACTCTGTGCGAGTGCATTTTCATCGCCAAGATAGACTGATATGTCTGCTGAAACGGTCTGTTGGAGTTTACTTCAGCTGCCTGTCCTCTAATGTTCAAAACTGCTTTTGAAAGGTCAATGAAGTCTTTGCAAAGTTGCCGCCTGCTTTGTCGTGCCGTTGTTTCTGTCATATGTTCTCAGGGTCTTTCAGCGAGTGGTGTCCATGTATAATTGATCATGACTTTAAAGTTGTATATACAGACGCTTACTCATGAGTAAGGTTGAGTCATGCCGGGCACAGCCTCACACTCAGCCATCATTCATCGACTGAAAAACATGAGTTTCTCATAGGAACTCATCTGACTTTCTCTGTGCTTCTGCTTCACAGGGTTTTTTAAGCAAACGACTGAAAGGATCCATCAAAAGAACGAAGAGTCAAACAAAGCTGGATCGCAACACAAGCTTTAGACTCCCATCTCTACGACCAACAGAAAATGACAGGTACAACTCACGCTTGTTTGTTTCTCATGAATGTATTCAGAGGGAACTTTGACTGAACCTCACTGAATTTCCTTCAGTTTTTTTTTGTGTCTCTGACCAGAATTTAAGAGACAGATGTGCGGTTATCTTTCAGATGATAAATTCAAAGCCATCTTCATATCATTGAATATATATATATATTTGAATGGATTATCTTTTCTACTTAACTTTTATAGGTAAAGTGATAGCTTTACTTTTTTCCACTTTTCTTTAATTATAAGCAGCTATTCAAAAAAAAAAAAAGGAGCTGGATGCTTATATAACAAGGCCAAAAATTCAGCTTAAATTCATGCTTGTCTCATAGCAAGCAGCTGGTTGGAAAATATGCTGTGCTGGGACCTGGCATAACATGAGATCTGTTTTAAAAGAAATTTTAAACCTTTCAGGCAGTCTGACAGCTCTCTGGCAGAACCGTTCTGGCAGTTCGTCCCTAATGAAGCTACTGCGCTAAAGCTGCGATTTTAACTGCACTTACGCTACCAGTCAAAAGTTTGGATTCATTTTACTTAATTTATGTTTGGCATGATCTGAAAAACCTTTTGACTGCACTTTTTTTTACTGCCCCCTAGTGGACTGCACTGTATTACAAAATACTTTGGCTGGTTAACAGGGGCCAATTCTTCCCAAAACTACCATTTAGACCTGAAAAATCTTTCTCCATTGACTGACATTCAAAAGTTCCCATGTGTTCTAACAAGAAAAAAAAAAAAACTTTCTAACTGTGTTCTGGTGAAATGAAATTGTTTAGTTTGGTTTTTGTTTTGCTTTGTTTTTTGTTGCGTTTTGCTTTGGTGTTTTTTTTTTTTTTTGGTTTTTGTTTTGCTTTGGTGTTTTTTGTTTTGTTTTGTTTTGTTTTGTTAGACCTAAAAAATCTTTTGTTCATTAATCACCATTTAAATCACCAGTTTCTATTTGTTCTAAACAAAATAAATCTTTTATTTCATTTTATTTTATCTATTTAACCTGTTAGCGGTCCAACGTACCGTACACTTTGTCCTTAATTTATTTAAAAATTTTTTGTAATTAGCTCATTATACTGAATAAGGGGGATATAAACATTCATTAGAGTAATGGGTTGTCCAGCTATTAGTTAAATTTTTTAAATAAGTTTTCATTAAGATAAGTTATTTTGTCTGCCTTTTAAGATAAATTACTTACTTCAGGTATTATTGACCTCCTTCGTCCAAAACTGTTCACCCAGATGATGTTGTATCACATGGACAGTGGCTCTTTGTTTTCTGTCATTTGATTTGTCAGATTTTCTTGTGATTTACTTTATCGCAGTGCTCGGGTGTGTAAGCGCTGTAATTCTTACTTCAGCTAGAGGATTAATGGATAAACGGCTGTTAATAGCATTAGGGAAAGTCACTTTTGCTTTATTACTACACAAACAGTGTGTCACAGGCCTCAGGGCTGAATTAGGGCTGGTTACCTGTGGTGACAAACCAGAAGTTGCATTTCCACCCTTTTTGTTTGTGTTTGCTGGAACAGGATTGAGACTGTGGGCTCTGGTTGTGATGTTGCTGGTGTATCTGCTCTCTCTGTATGCTCTAATGGCCACAGCTGCTGCGGTTAGACTACAGATGAGGAGGAGACGCGATTCTTATCATTCTGATTTCTCTTGCTGCTCCTTGTGGATTGAGTGCATCTGTTTGTGAAGAGCTCTTGCTCATAAAGTAATGCCAGGAAGGAGTGTGTGAGTGTTGTGGGGCATATGATAGTGTGGCCAAGACAGAGGAACTGCATGTGACAGTTTGATTGAGATGAATTACAACTGAACTCTCAGCAGACATCTGTCACTGCGTTCACACATGCACTTATGTGCACATGTTTGGGTGCATTTAAAGGGATAGCTCACCTAAAATTATAATTTTAAAATGTATATACAATACCAGTCTATTTTGTTTGGGGTCGTTAAGTTTTTTGTTTGCTAATTTGATTTTCGATTTTCAAAGAAGTAGGGCTGTGACGGTGAGGAAATTTTCCCACCGACGTGTGACAACACCGGTAATACTGCTATCATCGTGGGGGGGTGGGGGGAGTTTTCCCTCTTTTCCTCGCTTTCCTTCGCTTTTAAATTGCTTGTAAAAGCGGCGTGCACATTTTACTTTCACTTTCGAATTAGCGGCAATTCAGCATCAATTGCTTGAATGCAATGACATTCAAGCAACAACAAAATATAACGTCAAACTCACTTAGCCTATATATAAATAATAGAACTTTTATTAACAAAACGAATAAAAATACACCATGCTATAGCCTAGGCTATGCCTAATATAAAATAACAAATAACTTACACAAAGTTTAAATAAGTATACAAAACTGAGAATAAGTAAACACTGGAACCAAATAAATAAAAACTGTAGAACATAGCAAAATGAATAAGAAAGCTTGGAGACACGGCATACACCTTGATGGAAAATAAAAATAAATAAATTACACAAAGTTTAAATAAAGTAAAATCCGCAAACACTGTGGAACCAATTAAGTAAGAAACTTAAAAAAAAAACTTCCAATATCACCTTAGATAAACGGCAAAAGTCAACAGGCTTTACAAAATCCAAAATATTGCCAAACAGGCGCTTTTGCATTTCGTTTCAAAACTAAATCATTCGCTATCGTCTTGTCTGTCTTACCCCACTCTTCTCGTCACTCAGCTTGACTCTCCTCACGTGATAAATGAAATCCGATCTGTGATGCGACTGTCGTTCGGCACGCTACATTGAGCAGCCACGTTCAGTTTTTAATTGTAGCGTCTGTTCTCTAACTGAACTAGGCCTAAATGATTTATATTACTATAAAAAAAATCAAAACAATGGTGGCGAGCGGTGCTGCGGTGGGCAAGTGGCGTAACCGGTGTTGCTGCTTAACACCGGTATCACCGGATAACCTACAAATAAGTCTCTATGCTCACCAGGGCTACATTATTTGATTTAAAAATACAGTAAAAATAGTTATATTATTATCTAAAATTTTATTTTAAAAAATGTAATAAATGAATTTTATTTTAAAATGTAAATTATATATATATATTTTTTTTGTATAATTTAAAATGTGATTTATTTCTGTTATGGCAAAGTTGAATTTTCATCAGCCATTACTCCAGTCTTCAGTGTCAAATGATGCTTCAGAAATCATTCTGATATGCTGATTTTGTGCTGAAGAAACTTACTGATCCCAAACTTTTGAATGGTACTATATTTGCATTATCTTATGTACCATAAAAGTAGCCCATAGAACTTCCTTCGTTTTTTTCATACTGCAGAAAATTCCAATTTGTTTTCATATCTGATCTTTAGGACTCCCTGTCCTCACTGTTATTTTGCAAGTGATGAAATATGATTTGTTTGTTCAGTGTAGTCAACTTCCAGTGTATCTGCATCTATATATGCTACTAATATGCTAATCTAAATAAACTATCAACATTTTAATCCTAAAGTGAATTGATAACCACCATTATACAGGTGGTAAAACAGAAAAAAACAATAAACATTTAACTAAATAGCAGAATATGTAAAACAATACACCCTAATGTACATTACAGATAACAAAAATGTGTCAGTTTATTGTTTTTCACTCAAAACAGTAAGGATCTTTACATGATCAAGGTTTAGGAACATAGCAAGGATATCGGTAAAATAATCCATGTGACATTAGTGGTTCAACCGTAATTTTACGAAGCTACGAGAATACTTTTTGTGTGCAAAGAAAACAAAAATAACGACTTTATTCAATAATTCGTCTCTGCGTCACCCTATAGCGGCATTTTGGAGAGTATCACATACGTAAACAATGTATGTAAGTGGATACGTTGTTTACATTCAGATCAAAGCGTAAACAACATAAACAGCGTATCCGCGTACAGTGCTGTTGACACAGAACACCATACGTTGTTCACGTATGTGATACTCTCCAAAATGGCGTTTTTTCCCCGTTTTTTTTTATCGTTTTTTTTTCTTTGCGCACAAAGTACAGTTGAACCACAGATGCCACATGGATTATTTTAACGATCTCCTTTCTACGTTTCTGAGCCTTGATCACGTAAGGAACCTTGCTGTCTATGGGAGGGTCAGAGAGCTCTCGGAATGCATCAAAATATCTTAATTTGTGTTCCGAGATGAACGAAGGTCTTACAGGTTTGGAACGACATGAGGGTGAGTAATTAATGACAGAATTTTCATTTTTGGGTGAACTATCCCTTTAATTCATTATGTGGGGATTATTATTTATTTTATTTATTTATTTGATTGCTTGTTCATTTACATTTCAAACTACAAAAACTTTTGTCAAATTTTCATTTTTGGCTGAACTATCCCTTTAATTCATTATGTGGGGATTATTATTTATTTTATTTATTTATTTGATTGCTTGTTCATTTACATTTCAAACTACAAAAACTTTTGTCAGACGTACCATTAAGCTAAACAAAGCAAAAGAAAATGCACCCAAACTTAATAGGTTCCCACATGTATTGTGATCATGCCAAGTGCTAGCTAAAGCTAACTAAACCTCTCTTCAGATAAGGCTACAGTTTTCTGCTTTCTTGGCTTTGCTGAATAGCTGGCTATGGGAAAACATTTGAACTCGTAGCTGAAAAGAAAATGTAAATAGCACATTAGAGACTTTGAAGTAATCGACCTTTGCTGTAGCAGAATCACCTCTCACTATGTGGTCTGAATGAAAATACTAGTCCTGTATTCATAGTGGACTTGGAAGCTTTGACTGTAAAGAGCTTGAATGTGGCACCGCAGTCCCAGTGGACCGATCAGATTTCTTGGATAATGTGGGAGAGCTGTGTCCGGATACGGGCTGACTGTGCACTGATCTGCTTAGCTGTCCGAGTCAGCGCAGGTGAAACGTATCGAGAGCTGGAAGTGAGCCCTCCATCAGGAGTCACCCTGCTGTTCCTGCATCAGCTGTCCAATTCAGTGTACCACGCCTTTGTAAATGGAGACGGAAGGAGATACTGTTTGGATGGAGGAGATGAATAGATGTATCTTGAACTTCACTTTGTCATATGCAATTGCATTCAGTTTTACAAACCACAGGGCAGTTAGGCTGAGAGTCAGATTCAGAAGTTTCAGTAAGTGAGTCAGTTCAGTAAATGTGTAAATTTCATGTGGTGAAAGATTCATTAGACTGATTTGTGATTCAATAACTTGTGAGTTTGAGTAGTTTTATTAAAAGAGCTAACTCATAAGATTTGTGTGTTCACGAATCCCACTACATTGATTGTGCTGTTTGTTTTTTCATACAACCTGAGAAGATGTATTGTTTTTTTGTAGTTTTCCACGATATCTGGGCTGTATAACTGAATTATATTCAATTCTGACTGGAATATCACATCGCGGGGAAAATATGCGGTAATGTAGACAGATAATGGATGTTTTGTGATAAATGATGGGTCCTGTGTTTGGTTCTGTTGGGATGTGAGCCAGATGAGAGGCCAATCATTGTGGTAATCTGTTTTTTATCGAAGTCAGCAGGCATCACCACAATTTCTCATAACGAGAGAAACTGATGCCAGCAGATTTTCTATTAGGCACTTATGCCAGGATAGTCCATGTTGCGTGACCAACTGTCTGATCATATGTGCAAAGTCACTGCATTCAACCTTATAGTAAATGTAAACTTGAAAACGAGCAAAAAGCTTGTTGATTTTAAACTGCACATTTGAATAATTGATTTTGTCTTCAGCACAGAACTAAATGAGAATGTGTGTACAGTACGTTACAGGAGTAGCTGTCTCTTCCTATCAATCATTTTCTTTAGGCTTTTATGTAGTAGTATTGCATACTTTCATTGTATTATACTCTGAGTCTGCGGTCAGTCTTTATATTGGTCTGCTTTAAAACACATATTGATTGTACAGGCATATCTATAAATATATAACCATATATACACACTTCTGTTCAAATGTTTGGGGTCAGTAAGTTTAGTTGTTTGTTTCTTTTATTTAATATTTTGAAGGAAATTAATACACATTTTCAGCAAGGACACATTTTCAGTAAATTGAAAATAAATAAAATTACGCACAAACCAAAATTAGGCCATTATAACTTGATGACATTCTTTATATATTTATTTTTTTCCAGACTTTAATTCAAAACTTTGGGGTCAGTAAGAATTTAAAATAAATTAAAGGGTTAGTTCACCCAAAAATGAAAATTAGCCCATGAATTACTCACCCTCAAGGCATCCTAGGTGTATATGACTTTCTTCTTTCAGACGAATCCAATCAGAGTTATATTAAAAATTGCCTTTGATCTTCCAAGCTGTCTAATGGCAGTCAGCGGGTGTTGCATGCATCCGTCCAAAAGAATTGAAATAAAGCGCATCCATCCATAATAAAAAAAAGTGTCTCACACGACTTCGGGGGCTGAACAAAGGCCTCCTGTAGCGAATTGATGCGTTTTGGTAAGAAAAATATCTATATTCAAAACTTAATAATCACTTTAATCTAGCTTGCTCCAACTGTTGTACACAGAAGCAGCTCCGGGAGGATGACGTATGAGGTCGGCGCTGCGCATCCACTTTTTATTATGGATGGATGCGCTTTATTTCACTTCTTTTGGACTGATGCACTGCAACACCCGCTGAGTGCCATTAAACAGCTTGGAAGATCAAAGACAATTTTTAATATAACTCCGACTGGATTCGCCTGAAAGAAGAAAGTCATATACACCTAGGATGCCTTGAGCTAATTTTCATTTTTGGGTGAACTAACCCTTTAATGCTTTTATTTAGCAATGATGCATTAAATTGATCCAGTGTGACAATAATGACATTTATAATGTTATAAAAAGTTTCTATTGAAACGGTCCACAAAAATATTAAGCAGCACAATTGTTTTTAGCATAAGAAACATACATTTTTAAGAAATGTTTCTTGAGTAGCAAATCAGCATGTTAGAATGATTTCTGAAGGATCATGTGACACTGAAGACTGGCGTGTAATAGCTGCTGAAAATTCAGCTTTTCCATCACAGGAATGTTCATTTAAAATATTTTAAATTTGAAACAATATGTAAAATTTTAAATGAACATTTTTAAATAAATTTAAAAAGAAAGCAGTTCTTTTAAATTGTAACAATATTTCTGTTGTTTTTACTGTATTTTTGATCGAATAAATGCAGCCTTGTTGAGCATAAAATACTTCTTTCAAAAACACAGTAGAACAGTAGTATGTATATGTATGATATGACTGTATTTTCTCTTCTGTTCTCATTTTAAAACTGAATTCTCATTAAACAACCCAACCATGTGAGTAATGTCAAGGTGTGGATGTTGTGCAAGTGTGGTGGTAGTTCAGGTGTGAAGTTTGTGTGTGTGTGTGTGTGTGTGTGGGGAAGTGTTTAAGATGTTTGTGTAGTCAACTCATCTCTCGCTCCTCAGCTCCTCATAGGGCGGTCCCCATGGTAACATTCTCACAGGGACTTTGCATTGGCCAGCCCTCTTTCTTGTTTGTCACATCAGCTTTCTGCGTCCTTTTTAACCTCACCTGAGCTACGATGAAGTAGCTCTACACCTGCACCAAAAAAAATGAATTGAAAACTATTGGATTGGAGTCTTCGTTTCTTTTCAGGAATGCGTTAATATCCTGATATGCTCTTGGGATACTCCTTCAAGTGGATCTTTAGTTGTTTTTCGTAGGTGTAAACTTTCTTTCTAGAAGCAGGGCGATTATGGAATTTGTTTCATGATAGATTATATAATAAATAATGTTTTAATTATGGTAAAGAAGTAGAAATTGGTTATTGTTTGTGTATATAAAATGAAATTATTGTTTTTATCTGAAACACTCACTCTCTTATGTTTGACTGCCTCCCTGTGGCCGTACTATGTAATTTATTTTTTCTTTTACTAAAATGATTCATAGGAGATTATAATCAATCTTTCTGAGCCAAAACTATTTGTCACAGTTCTCATTTGCATATCGAATCTCCTGTGGCTGAGGACACTGTGTAGCCAGTGAGGAAGGAGACTGAAATATCAGAATCGGAAGAGAGGATGTAATTATTACTAAATGATCTGGTGAGTCTTAAGTAATTGAGTTAAAGTTTCTGTATCTCTGTGTGCTGTTGTAGGTCACGAGGCCTGCCCAAATTGAAGGAGTCCTGTTCCCATGAGTCTTTGCTGAGTCCAGGCAGTGCTGTTGAAGCTCTGGATCTGAGTATGGAGGAGGACGTCTACATCAAACCTTTACACAGCAGCATTCTAGGACAAGACTTCTGCTTTGAGGTACAAACTTCACCTCTTAGCATTATTCCCATGATCACATTGACATTTATATGTAGACTACCATTCAAGTTTGTGTAAGATTTTTTATTCGAAATCTTACGCTTTCCAAGACTGCATTTATTTGATGAAAAATGAATTAAAACAGTAATATTGTGAGATATTATTAATGTAAGCTAACTGTTTTCAATTTTAATACATTTTAAAATGTAATTTATTCCTGTGATGGCAAAACAAAATTTTTAGCAGCCATTACTCCAGTCTTTAATGTCACATATTCCTTTAGAAATCATTCAAGTATGCAAATTTGGTTGTCAAGAAACATTTCTTATTATTATTAATGTTGAAAATATTTGTGTATTTTAAGATTTTTTTTGGAAAACAATCAATTTTTCCGGATTCTTTAATGAATTGAAAGTTCAATAGAACATAATTTATTTGAAATAGAAATAAATGTTTTTATTCTTGCTTTTGATCAATTTAATATGTCCTTGCTGAATAGAAATATACATTTCTTTCGAAAAAATAAAAATCTTACCAGCCCCAAACGTTTTACTATGGTGTAACTATCTTGACATCACAAGTAAGTACAACCACATAATATTTTGGAAGGGTTATATAAGATAAAGTTCAGTTATTTATAACATTTGGATTAAATTAATGATTTACTCTATGAATGAATTGCTGAATTTCTCGCCCTCTTCACGTAGGTGGCATACTCAGGTGGAAGTAAGTGCTTCAGCTGCTCTTCTGCTGCTGAACGGGACAAATGGATGGAGAACCTCAAGAGAACTGTGCAGCCTAATAAGGTAACAAAGATGCTTGTTTTTTTAATCAATGCAAAATCATGCATGCTTGTTTTATACTTAAAATTAGCTTCTGTGGTTCAATCCGTGTCATTCCATCACCAGGACAACTGCAGACGAGCGGAAAACGTCCTCCGTTTGTGGATCATCGAGGCCAAAGATCTGCCACCGAAAAAGAAGTATTTCTGTGAGCTGTGTCTGGATGACGTGCTGTACGCCCGCACCACCAGCAAAACCCGCTCTGACTGCCTGTTCTGGGGCGAACACTTTGAGTTCTCCGGCGTTCCGTCCATTAAGAGCATCACTGTACACATCTATCGTGATGTGGACAAGAAAAAGAAAAAGGACAAAAACAACTATGTGGGCCTGGTGAACATACCGGTGCAGGGAGTAATGGGAAGGCAGTTTGTGGAGAAATGGTATCCGGTCAGCACCCCCACCACCAGCAAAACCAAAGGTGGAGGCCCCTCCATCCGCATCAAATCTCGCTTCCAGACTGTCTCCATCCTGCCCATGGAGCAGTACAAAGAGTTTGCGGAGTTTGTGACCAATAACTATACCATGTTGTGCTCTGTGTTGGAGCCTGTCATCAGCGTGAAGAACAAGGAGGAGATGGCCAGTGCGCTCGTGCACATACTGCAGAGCACGGGACGGGCGAAGGTATGATGCCAATTGAGATCTCAATACCTTAAACTAGCTATAATCACTTGTTTATGACTAGAAGTTGATTGAACTTTCTTTATTAGGACTTCCTAACGGATCTGGTGATGTCAGAGGTGGATCGCTGTGCTGATCATGACGTGCTGATCTTTAGGGAAAACACGCTAGCCACCAAAGCCATTGAAGAATACCTCAAATTGGTGGGACAGAAGTACCTACATGATGCACTAGGTAAGTTAAACGTTTACCTTGGTGTATTTATTAAGAAGCTTGTGTAACAAGAAGACCCTTTACTTATATGTTTGTGTTTGCTTTGTAGGAGAGTTTATTAAAGCCCTTTATGAGTCAGATGAAAATTGTGAAGTAGACCCATCGAAGTGCTCCAGCAATGAGCTTCCAGAGCACCAAAGTAACCTGAAGATGTGCTGTGAGCTGGCCTTCTGCAAGATCATCAACTCTTACTGGTAACTTTTTCAGGTCCTAGACCTTGACATCATTTATGTACAACATAAACTTCAATAGTAGCTAAGTAGAAGCTTGAACAACAACAGAAACAAAGTAAAGAATATACTGTATGTAGGGTTCATAGTAATTAAAAACTGTGATTTTCTTGTGCGCAATCTCCATAAAATGTTTTTTTTTTTTTTATTCTTCTTCAAAAATTCAGCAATTGGAAAAGTTTTACTTTTTTTTTCCAAACTTTTTTCAGGATCATGGTTATAAATTCAGATTTACACTATCATTCAAAAGTTTGGGGTCAGTAATAGGGCTGCACGATATATCGAAATTATCGAAATATCGCAAATGTAAATATCGCAATATGCATATCACAACGGCGTGCGATATCATTATCATTTTAATAATAGGCTACTTAAATCAAAACGTTGCAAAAGGTCAAAGTTTTAGTTCGACGCATATAGCAGAGAATTACTTGACGTTGAAAAGAGTTAAGTGCAATAAGTTGCAGAAAACAACTCTGTCGTCTCGTCTTGCTGTCTGACTCACACCTGAAGCGCACGCACAAGCCACATCTCGCACAGCGTCTCTTCAGTTCTGCCGCACACGTGCAAAGCACGCGCGCACACACAGAGAGACGCGTTTCAGACTGAGTTGATTCGTCTTTCGCATCTCCTCCTTATGTTTGAACAGACACATACACACAGAATTATGTCAATAGTACCCGTCTCGACGATCATTCTCGTAAACGCAGTCGGTTATGAATTAGTCTAACTTGTTTTCAGTTATTGAACAGAACATTGTAGCACGCATCGCATCCAATAAATCGCAGTAAGCTTTGTTATTTGTTACTTTTGATATGAAATAAAGTCTCCGATTTCAAATTCTGTGCATGTTATTACAATATTCAAAGAACGTCACATTTACCTCAGAAAAATTTGGTGACCATAAACTTTAGTCAGCTAGAAAAATTAACTCTAGAGAGGAGCATTTTGCTAAATATCTGCACCATATAACATAATCATTATATTTTTTACTGTTCTTCAGTATTTAAGTTTGAATAAATCCATCAAGTTTCTATGACAGACACCATTTAAATGTTTATATTTCAAATGTTAAATTAATTGGAGTAGAAATATAATTATGTAATTTAAAGTTAAAGTTAACTTTTAGTTTATTTTAGTATTAGAATTTTAACCTTCAATATTATAGTAATGTAGTACCAACTGCCTCCCATGTATATTTTACAGCATTAGTTGGGAGATTTTTTCCTTGAGACTTAAGCAAATGCAACATGAACGCTACTCAACATAAATGAAAAAAAAATACTGAGTGCACACTGCACATTTAAGTATTAAGAATGGCCATGTCTCAAAATCAGGAAGCACATTTCATACCTCAGAGGTATTGCCGCAAATGTCTTCTGTTGAGCTGTGTGCTTCATGTCAGTAATGCTTGATCCCCACTAAACGTTGTAAGGTTCTAGCAGATTTTAAATGTTTAACATTGCAGTACTGTTCACCAGCTGTGTGTGACCAAAAAAAGCTTTGCTCTTGTTTGCAGTGTCATAACTCATTGTTTAGGTTAAGTTAGCCTCAAGGTTAATGTTTGTTTAATGGCATTGGACACAGCGCATTCACACCCTTCCCCTAACCCTTGCTGACCTGTTGCGTCTGGAGCATGGTTTTGTTTTGACTGCTATTAAAACCTCCCTGCACAATATTTTTGTTTCCTGCCATGAGTTAATTCATCTCAACCTTTCTTTTATCTCGTCTCAGACATAACCTTCTGTTGTTGTTTGATGCATGGCCTGCATTTGACCTTGTTTGTTTCTGTTTGTTGTTTTTGGAACTGCTTTTGTCATTTTTGTAGAAGCATGTGTTTGGTTTTTCTTTTATTTATCCCTAATTTGACTTTTTTTCTTTTGTTTTCTCCTCTGTTTGCCCATGTCACTATCCATTCCACCCTTTCCTGTCCGACACACTGTGTCTCCATGGTTACGCTGTCCTACCACCTATGCATTATGGTGCCTACTATCTCGACCAACCAAAAAACCCTCCTGCCAACCCACCAATCTGCCATCTGCACCCTCAAACTCTCGGGCTCCATGTGTTTGCCCTCTGTGGTCCATAATGTGGTTACACGCCAACCCAGGGTGACAATTCCTTCCTGCAGGCGACGGTGGCCAAACTGGGGCCCCTGCCGCGTATACTTGGCGATATCACCCGCTCGCTGTCCAGCCCCACCCCCATCCAGCAGCAGCTCAGGCGCTTCCAGGACCACAGCTCCGCTCATGACATCAGTGGGAGTGTGTCCTCAGGACTGCAGAGAATATTTGAAGACCCAGCAGACAGGTAGGACATTGCTGGATTTTATAATTTTTTCTACTTCATGTATGACTGCGCTATATTCTAAATCACCTAAGGCCATAATTAAGCTTTGTGTGAGGAACAGACTGAAATGATTTGGTTGTTATTCCAAAATTATAGTAGTTACTCACTCATCCACAAGATCAAACGTGGTGCGTTCCTAAAAGGAGAAGAACATCATTGATTCTCACATGTATTGTGAAAGTGCCAAGTTTGAACTTGTGGAAACATGAACATTTTAAAGGGCCATTTCTGGTTAAAGGTGCGATGTAATGGAAGTAGCGACAGATCTTTTCTTCTCTATTGTGACGTACATCTAAGTGAAGCAGGTTATTGAAAAGATCAAAAATTTAGGGTGGGAACTCTTATCATTTCACCAGAAGATTACGTTATGACCATTTTAATGATAAATGTGACCCCGGACCACAAAACCAGTCATAAGGGTCAATTTTATGAAATTGAGATTTATACATCATCAGTATTTGGCCGAGATACAACTATTTGAAAATCTGTAATCTGAGGGGGCGAAAAATCAAAATATTGAGAAAATTGCCTTTAAAGTTGTCCAAATGAAGTACTTAGCAATGCATATTACTAATCAAAAATTAAGTTTTGATATTTACAGTAGGAAATTTACAAAATATCTTCATGGAACTTGATCTTTACTTAATATCCTAATGATTTTTGGCATAAAAGAAAAATCGATAATTTTGACCCATACAATCAATTTATTGTTGGCTATTGCTACAAATATACCCGTGCGACTGGAGACTGGTTTTGTGGTCCAGGGTCACAAATTAAAAGGTCAAAAGAAAGAAACGTATGCATGGATGAATCATTCACAATAGATTGTGCATTTAGAAGGTAGATAGGGTGAGTTTCCCTTTCATGCCATTTCATTTGTGACGTATACCACACTTCTCCAAAGATTTAGAACTAGTTTATCCAGTCAATAATGGATGAATTGAACCAAGTCCCGTCCTACCAATTTTTTTTTTCTTTTTTAGTAATCCATTTCACTCGGATGTACATCACAATACAGAAGAAAAGATCTGTCCCAACTTGCGTTTCATCGCAACTTTTAAAAAGGCTTCGGAACAGATGGCTGACAAGCCTACTTATATTTCTCTGAGAAGGCCAATCAGTATCGGACAAGAATAGACCACAATGCATTGTAACACCAAAGTATAAATCAACATTACATTAGCACACGTACATTTCCAAAACCACTGAGACTTTAATTGGACCATTAAAATAAAATGTGCAATATTATTACTGCATTATTCTCATATATTCATTCTTCTGTATCTTGTTCCTCAGTGAAATGAGGAGCATCAAATCTCCTGTCCAGGAGCACATGGAGGCATTAGTCCGAGGCAAGCATCCTTTATTGGGTCAGCAGTCCTCCACTCACAGCATGAGCTTCTCTGACAAAGAGGAGCGAGACAGTCCACTACCGAATGGACGCAGTATATCTCTAATGGACCTGCAGGACTCTTACCTGGCACAAGGGCATCCGGGTCCTAACTCTCTCAACGAAACCCCACCTAGATTAGGCCGAGTGGGCTCTCAGGCCTCCATTGGCCCTGTCCCCCCTCCACACCTCCACCAGCCCCCTGTCCATCCAAAAGTTCCCCAACTAAGAGACAACTTGCCGCAAAGTGCCCCGCAAGTGCGGCGCCCTATACACCCCTCCCTCAGCCAGCAGCGTAGCCTGCAACCGCTGTCTTTCCAAAACCCTGTTTACCACCTCAGTAACCTGCACGCACAATCCACGCACTCCGCCCAGTCCCTGCAGCCAGACTCCAGCTCGGAGAACCTGAGCACAGGCAGCTCTCGGAGCGCCAGTCCCAGTGCGTCAGGGGGCCGGGGAGCTACTCCCAGAGCACGGATGCCCTCCACCAGCAGCGTGGAGGAAGAACTCACCCGCAAAAGCATCCAGAGACAAGAAACACCTCCTCCCACAGCACGCTGGCACCCTCCCCTGGCAGACCAGCACTCGGGAGCCCAGGTTGTGGCGGTACCGAGGCAGAGCAGCACAGGTACGGCGCATATCGTGAAGGTGGAGCAACAGAGTCGAGGAGTGGGGCTGGTGGCAGGAAACACACCGTCGCGAACTCCAAGATCGCTTCCTCACAGCACTTCCCTGCGTAGCAGCAGCAGCGTCAACACTGAACCCATGCAGCAGAGCGGTGAGAGATCCAGACAGCAGTCCTCGTGCTCCAGAGACAGTTCGGTTCCAGGAGGACGAGGCGCCAAACAGGTAATGACCGAGATGAGGAAAGAGTTCGCTTTACCCAGACATGTTTGAACCCAAATAATGCTTTCTTTTGCATGTGTCCATAAGGTACAGTCACCTGTAGAGTCAGTCACCCTGTCCCCAGTGGAGCGAACGGCAGCATGGGTCCTGAATAACGGCCAGTATGAAGATGAGGAAGAGGAAGGACAGAGCAAAGATGATGCCAAACATGTAGAGAAGGTACAAAAAGAAGAAATTGCTGCAAATATGCTTTAGATAGTCACTGTAGTAGGTTTTAAGAGGTTCTACTCTTTTTCTCTGAAGTACGAACAGGAAATCTCAAAACTGAAGGAGCGTCTGCGGGCGTCTAGTCGGCGACTGGAGGAATATGAGAGGAGGCTGCTGGCACAGGAACAGCAGATGCAGAAGCTGCTTTTGGAATACAAGGCTCGATTGGAGGACAGTGAGGACCGTCTGCGCAGACAACAAGAGGAGAAAGACAGCCAGATGAAGAGTATTATCTGCCGGTGAGTGTATGACCAAATTTACAGTATATTATAAAGGAGTGATTATCTTATACTTTTGGTTGCAAACCTCAAAATACAGTCTAAATATTTAGTAAATGTTTAGTAAAATCCTTGTGTGTATATATATGTACATTTGTTGATTAACAATACAATACTGTATAAATGCTGTTTTTTTTCCTTAATCCTTTATTTAGGGTATGAATGTGTTTAAGTTTTAATTAATTTTTTTTTGGTTACGCTTTATTTTAAGGCCCAATTCTCGCCATTAACAAACCATTGAACAAAGACTTTTGCCTTAATAAGCTTCTAATTTGCTGCTTATTAATAGTTAGTAAGGCCGTTGTTAAGTTTAGGTATTAGGTCGGATTAGGGATGTAGAATATGGTCATGCAGAACATGTGCTTTATAAGTGCAGCCAATATGTTAATAATAGGCATGCTAATAAGCATCTAGTTAATAGTAAGAATTGGTCCCTATTAGTGTTGTCAAAAGTACAGACTTCGGTATCAGTCAGTACTGAAATTTAAAAAACGTCCATTTCCCGCTAACATTTGAGCGCTGTTGAGCGGATTCTTAAACACTGCTGATTGGCCATTGTGTTCACGCGCTCAACAGATATGACTGTGATTGGCTACAATGATCATCGCTTCATGCTCTTCACCGAGCGCTCACACAGGAGCGTTTGAAAGCAGGCATCTGTCAGCGGATCTGTCTATGTGCAGATATATTAGGGATCTGCTGATAGACGCGGCTTTCAAACGCTCCCGTGTACATCTGTGCGAGCACTCGGTGAAGAGCGTGAAGTGATAATCATTGTACCGAAGTCGGTACTTTTGACAATACTAGTCCCCTATACTATACCTTTTTCCTTTTTATCTTTAATTTGTACATAAACAAAACTATCCATAAACAACCAAATCTGCAATGTCGAAACTGTTTGATATTCCAAAACCATGTGAAATCTGACAAGGTTTTGTGTCATTGTGGCTCATAGGCTGATGGCCGTGGAGGAAGAACTGAAGAGAGACCATACAGAGATGCAAGCGGTCATAGACGCCAAGCAGAAGATAATCGATGCACAGGTATTGCAGATGACCATGTTAACCAGCATGATAAATGCAAGGGAACTTGAGTGAGAGTTTGGAGATCATCTTAGTCTACTGTCTGGTTGTGAGGAGCTGGCCTGTGTGTGCTGCACAGTGGTATGCTTTGAACTCCCTGCTAAACCTCAGATGGTATTAAAGCAAACAGGCTGCTGACTGGCTCATTGTTACTGTGTCCTACTGAATTCCAGGTCGCTAATGGAACTGAGGTAATACCAGCAGGCAAGTACAAGCAAACAGTTCTGCTCCTGCAGAGCAGCTAGGCTTATGTAAGCGCACCCCGATCCAACACCCATGCCTGGCCTGAACCTTTGCAACACTCAGTCCTCCAAGCCATTTTGTTTCTCTCCACTTCAGATGATCTAAATATCTAAATCTAAATAAAATGAAGGTTAAATGTGAAGTGTGTCGTTTTTCAGTGTTAAAAGACGCTCTATCCAAATTGCACAGAGATCACTATAACAAAAATTTATAACAAACAAGAATGTAATAATACATATAAATTATTATATTTTATTATTTATATATATATATATATACTGTAAAAAAACTAATGATTGCATTGGATATAGGATGTGAAACGTAAGCTAACCAAAAAAATTTATTATATTAATTTTAACTAGAAATTTATACATTTATCTACAATCAAACCAAAATATATTCTGACACCTTCAAGATTTCTCACATTATTACAGTTTATTCGCTATAGTTTAGAAAATGGTAAATTTAAGTACATAATTAGATAATACCAATTTAGGACAACCAATTACCAAGCAATGCTTAATTTTGTTCAGTCTGTGGTGTAAAAAGAAAATTAAAAGAATGTATGAAGAATTAATAGGTATAACACTGTGTGTCAGTTTACTTTTTGCTATCCTCCCTTAAATTGAACTGTAGTGTCCTCCACCCACTAGTAAAAAAATATCAAAAATGATATCTGGTGTTTGAATAATTTTTGGTTTGACTGTATAACGTGATTATATTATTGATGTTACATATTATACATATATTCACTTTAAATGTAATTTATTTTATTTTATTCATATTTAATTATTTATTAGATATTTAAAAGGATTGTTCACCCAAAAATGAAAAATCTGTTCCAACCCTGTTTGTGCTTTTTTTTTTTTTTTTCTAAGGAAAACAGAAGAATATATTTTGAAGAATGTTGTTAACCAAACAGTTCCAATTGACTTTCATTGTTTTTGTGCATCCAGTGGAAGTCAATGAGAACCAAAATTGTGTGGCTACCAACATTCTTCAAAATAGTGTTGTTGTTGTTTTTTTTACTGTCCACAGAAACGATATGAGGGTGAGTAAATGATGACAGAATTTTCATTTTAATTAGTATTTTAATTTATATTAAATGTAAAAAAAAAAAAAACATTAGTGATTGTTGTAACAGTTCATCTTAAAGAAAGTTTGTAGGATTTCTAATCAGGAACTGAAAAGTACTTCAGGCAGAATGAAACTGTCCATGACATTATTAGTGACATAGAAATTGCACACTTTACCTTTAAACAAGATACTTAAATACGTTTGCATACTTAAACTTTTCAGTCATAGCCTGTTTTGTCATTTGACTTTAAAAATTCTCCTCGTGTTTGGTAAATGTTCATGCTTTTCCCACATTTCAAAGCTGTCAGAGCATCTTCCTGATGTTTAGTGTGATGCTATTGAGGAATGTGTTGATATGGATCTCTCGAAGCAGATTTACTACCTGGTACCTGTGCTTGGGCTGCTGTTTTTTATTTTCCCTCCTTATTTTTGCCTAGTCACTTCCTTTTTGCCCATGCTGCCACACTCCCAGCACTGTAGTCGGTGTGTGTGCACTCCACAAGTTGCCACTGCCCTCTGCAGATTTACTTTATAGTGTAATGATGGTCTCTCTTGTCTGGTTTTTGTCTGCATCTGTTGCTTATACAGGATTTGAGTTGTCCTGATTTTGCTGTCCTTACAAACTTGCTCTTTTGCGTGTATGTGCTTGTAGCACATGTGATTGTTCACTTGCCTGACCGCTGTCAGACTGGCACAAATTATTAATAGGCCCTATTCACATCAGCTATTATTTGTCTTTTTAAAATGATCTTCCTTTGAAATGAAGATAGAGTTGATTTGGTTATATTTTGTTGAAAAAATATACATGATAAAACATGACTTACATTCTTTTTAATTAGTTTTATTTATTTACTTTTTCACTTTTTTTTTTGCTAACACATTCAGTTTCACCATCTATGTCCACCATTTTCCTTTTTGGACAATGTCATTTGTTTACTATATTATTTTATTTGTATTGAATCTTTTTAAAGGAATATTCATGGTTAAATGTAATTTCAAGTTTGAAAAATAAATATACTAGAGATAGGATTTTATACATATTTGTGAAAAGTTTAGTATAATGTAAGGCATAATAAAAGTTCATTCACCTGAAAAAGCAATCCTACCTTTAATTATAAAATTAATAATAGTAGAATTAATAATAATAATAAATTGTATGTAATATATATTAATAATAAATGAACCATTATATATAATATTTGTTATAATATATTTTTTTATTTTCTACACACACACACACATATAGTATTATGCATAAAATGTAATATTTATTATATAATCATTTCGTGTATGTGTATGTATGTGTGTATATATATATATATATATATATATATTTATAATATAATTATTATAAATGTTTGAACAAAAATGTGAGCTCTGTGTTTCTGCTGCTAAATCGCCAAGAGCAGGCTGTAATATGTAACCTTGAATATCCCTTTAATTTATGTAAAAAATTAAGATATCTTTAAATCTTAAATTTGAATGTGCTTGCAGGAGAAGAGGATCAGCTCCCTGGATGCAGCTAACTCTCGGCTGATGAGTGCCCTCACTCAGGTCAAAGAGCGATACAGCATGCACAACCTCCGCAACGGCCTGTCGCCCACCAACCCCACCAAGCTCTCCATCACTGAGAACGGAGAGTTCAAGAACAGCAGCTGCTGATTGGTGCTCATGGACTTGATGAGCTGTGCCGATTGGTGCTCCCAGACAGATCACCAGCACCGATTGGTTGAGTTCAACACAGACTGAGTACCTTGACTACATGCCTAAACTGACTGACTACTGTAAACATGCGATTGCAAGGAATGTCTGGTTATTAATGTATATAAACGTTATCTAATATTGGTTCTGTACAGAAATGCTACTGCAGAGGAGTGTTTTGAGATTGCGTGGGAGAGTAAAGCGTAGCTTCGGTTCTGAGTCAGTGAGTTTGTTTTTTTTAAATACTGATTTACGCATAAATGCAGATTTAAGATTGCAAACAGATTTTTAATTATTGCCTAAGATATATGAAGGAGATGTACATATCTTAAAATAGAATTGTTTTAAAAGAAAAAATTAAGAAAAGCACATAGGTATCGGCCGTAGCTGTAAATGTCCCCAAGTTGCAGAATCTGACAGGCAGAAATAGATGAAAGGCAATTTTATGCACTCAGTTTTCTAACACAAGTTTTCTATTGTTTTGTTTTTTATTATTATTGTTTTATCATCTTGCAAAAGGTGTTATGACTGATTTTAGTTGACTAAAAGGACACAATTAAGCCAGCCACAGTTCAATTAAAACAAATCTAGAACATGATATTCAATAAATTGAAATATGTGTTCATTAATTTTACTAAAAATATGACTGAAGCAGTGGGTTTAGTAAATTAAAATATTGAACTGAATTTTCATTTTGACATATGTAGGCTATTTTACTGGCACTCAACCCAACTTAACATTTTTTGCCCTATATGTGTTTTATGTATCTGACCAGAGTGCTGTGAAACCACCAATCTACAGTCTCACTGCCCTCTTGTTCTAGACGGTCTCACTGCCCTCTTTCTGATCCTGTTTATTGTTGGTCTGCTACTTTTAATGAAAGTCATTGTTTTTTTTCACAGTGTTCTCACTCGGTCCATATGAGCATCAATGCCGTTAACCTTTTGTGGCACAGAACTCCTCAATGTTTGCTGTTCTCGTAGCGATATATTTGATGGTCAGTCTCAGAGTTGAAAGCTGAGCATTGAATAAAGATGGATTGTGGCCTCATTGATTATGTTGTCTGTATGTGACCAAAACTGATTTAGCATTTCTGCTTCCATTCATTTTGCTGTTATTGTCAGGGATCTGGAAGGAGGACCCAATTGCAGTGTGAGTAACAAGGGTTTATTGACAAAACAGATCAATACAAAAGGGTTGTTGTGAGGTGCACAGGTGATACCACAACAGGAACACAGAAAACCGAGATAAGGGAGGGAGGCCACAACAGCCTCAGACATCAACTGGCAGAATACTATAGCAGCAGAGGAGGCGGCAAGACCAGGCCGGTGGAGAGACCAGAGCATGGCACCAGAGAGCTGAGCTCAGATACTTATTGACCATAAACTCTGAAGCATGCCAGGCAAGGGAACCAGTGGACAGGAACAGGTCAGGACAGGAACTCTAACACCACAACAAGACAAAACAT